CACAAATTTTACCTGTGAAGGACTGCTCGATTGTTTGAAATCAAAACTATTGAAAAATCAATGAGAAGTAGAGCTGAATTCTTATAGGTTGAAATTAAATTTGTTGAATTTTGACCATTAAAGCTCTTTTCTGATTGTTTGATATCAAAAAAGATAAAAATTTCCTAATGAGTAATGCTCGGTTCTGATTGGTTGATAATTTTAAAACTTCATGATTAGTTTGGATGATTTTTGTTTCGGCTAGGCTAAAAAGCATATCCATTCCGATTTTGTTTCTTGTTTAAACCAATTGGTTAAGAAAGTTGTTGTTTTTATTCTTTTTTATTCATTTTTCGAGGCTATTCAGCTCTTCGTATCTAAAAATTTGGGTTTTTCTAAATCTCCTATTATTCATTCCTTACTTAATGAGATGCCGTCACTGAATAGAAACGGAACAGTTGCATGTCTTGAAAGTGGTAGAGATTACACTCGCTTAGACGCATCAAGACATTGTAAGCACTGTGGCGTTTTAAAGTGCTCCAATTATAATTTTTATACATCTAGCATCGAGGACATCTTACATCTATACATCTGAAAAGACTATACAAAAAATTTGAAAAAAAAATATAGTAAAATTTTGACAATGTTATCATCACTATTCTTGAAAACCGTTTTTTTTATTCAAAGGTGCTGACTGATGATAAAATCAGCAAAAAGCAAGGTCAAAATTTGAAGAAAATCTACAGTAAAAACTCCATAAATTGCAAGCTTGCGGAGTTTTTGTTGCAATAAAAAGGTAGTAAAAGTGCAAAGCATACGCTAATGAGTTGATAAGTATTTGTTAAAAAGTTGTAATAAACTGAAAATTTATAAAACATCGACTAACTGAAAGGTTTTATCTAGTTACCATTTTAATGTTTTCCTGGTTTAGTGCTTGTAAAATGTTCATAGAGTAGTACAGTTTTAAGCAAATAATCTACTGTGTTTTCTACTGTTTTTTGACGATTTCTGAAGAGAAATTTATAACTGATCTAGAAAAGATGAAAAATTATTGGTTCCTGCTAACTTTTGAAAACTTCAACTTAATAAAATACATTCTCAAACAAACATTTACCTCAAAGAAACTCAGAGTTGAGACAGCAACATTCAATTATCAGGTTTAAAAAATCACTAGAAATTTTTGGAAAAAGATATCTGGTTATAATTCTGCTTCGGATTAATGAACTTTTGATGAAACGATACATTTTTTCATCCAAAACTCGATTTTCAAGGAAAATGTTGTTTAAATTGAAATAAGCTGGAAGATAGTAGACGAAGCAGAAACTAAAAAAAAATTCACATTGAGATAGAAATTCAATTTACTTCAAAAGGCGTTAAGAGTTAAATTTTTTAAATTTAGCTTATAATTTATATCTTGAGACCAAATCCAACAAAAAAGGTAATGTTCGAAAAATTTTGTTATCGTTTGATGTATTAGGTAAGCTTATAGGAAAATTTAGATGTTTTGAGTTGAGTCGGTGTATGGTTTACTCCATAATTCTTGTGGAGTAAACCATACACCGACTTCTTTTGGAAGATGATACAAGAAAAATAAACCAAAAAATTAGCTTTCAAGATCTCAATAATTCGGACAAGAAGAAAAGAAAAAAATTGATGAAGAAAGATTTTTAGAGAAAAGAATTTAGAGATTGCTGAACATTTCTCTGCTAACTGATAGTTTAGCAGACTCAGATATTGATTATAAGAAGTTTAACATGGAAACTTTCAGCTGGACACACATTAAAGATTTTGTTCTGGTTAGCTTCAACCTTTTTTTTTCAATTAGAAACTTAGGTAGAACTATAGAGTTTTTTGCTGGATAAAATTCTGAAATTCTTCATTTTTTACAGTTTACGTTTTGATTTATTTTTGCTTTATTGATTTTTTGAACGCAATTTGATGGTATTTTTTAGATAATGTAGAAATTGGAACTAGATTTACTTGCTTATTTCTATTTCAGAAGATTTTAAGACTATAACCATTAGATATGCTCTTAATTTGTTCTAAAAGCTCAATGTAAAAATACATCTTCGTATTCTTAAACTTTATATGTGCATTTAACTAGCACCGATTCGTTCTTACTTGAACATTTTTTGAGAAAACTTCGACAAACTCAAGACAAATAAGCCATTTAATAACTATATTGCAGGAAAAATGACAGTTAATAATCCAAAAAGTCGTATTTTCATGTAAAGGATTTTTTGTAGCAACTGAAGAAGAGAAACCGAACAAAAACATGTAGAAAATACGTACTATTGAAAAAGATTTTGTCGAATATCATCTAATATCTAATACACTTTTAAAAAAAATTTACCGCCATATTGGTCATTTTTAGCAGTAAAATGTTTATTTTTCATCACTGATCTGGAATGTATAGTTTTTAACCTGTAAAGTTTCTCACAAGTTGTAATTTTGTACTAATTTGGGTAAATCATTGAGAAAAAACTGAGTAGGAGTTGAATCATGGAGTTTGATCTACAAATTTAATGAATTTTTGCTCCTCATGCTCACTTGAATTGGACTTTTAATTTGAATTCTCCTTGAAGTGGACAAAAGCCAGATAATTTCTCAAATAAAGGGTTGAAAATGAAAAAATTTGGAGGAAATTAATTAATTTTTACTTCATTTTTTCAAAATGAGGATTAATTTCACTATGTTTAAAAATTGATTCTGAAATTATGAGCTTTCTTGTCAATGTTGAGAGCTATAATTAACCGGTTTTTTACCTCAAATTATGGTCAATTTTATCGTATATCAATTTTTTGAGGAAAAAATGTGGAAAAGTTCATCCTTTCACATGATGCCAAATAAAATACATTTCGAGCTCAATTTTAAACTCTGTGCGTAAGTGTTTTCCAAAATTATATCAGAAGCAACAATACAGTAGCCATAACTGTGAAGTTTTTGCAATTTTTTGCAATAACTTTTTGTTAGATCTAATTATAGCAAAACTGATCATGTTTTGAAGGTTTTTCGGAAAAATTTTCAATTTGTTTGATAAAAATTCAAAGTTTTTGGCCACAAAATATTACCATTTTAAAAATACTTGATTCCCTAATCTACATGTATTTATCAATTGATAGTTATTAAAGAGATAACGCGCGCCGAGATTTTTGCGAAAAAATTAGATATGTCCACACAAAATCCAA